CCCCAAAACCCCAAAACCCCAAAACCCCAAAACCCCAAAACCCCAAAACCCCAAAACCCCAAAAGAATACAATAAAAATGCAAAAATAGAGTTATAATATATTTATCATCATAAAATGAGAGAGATTAGAATTTTGGTCCTTGGAGATGAAGGGGTTGGGAAGACCTCCATCATCTCGACTATAATGTCAGAGAGTTTTCCGAAGAACCCTCCAAAGAAAATACCTCCAGTGTGCATCCCTCCAGATATGTTTGTGCAATATAAAGATATCTCAACTATCCTCCTCGATTCTTCACAGGATGTCTCCGATAATGAAATTGAGAGAGCAAATGTGATCCTCTTGGTCTATGACGTTGTTCTTCAGGAAACAAAATCAAGACTAGAAATGTATTGGCTCCCTAAAATTCAAGCTGTGAGCGAAGAAATTCCAATAATATTGGTTGGAAATAAAGTTGATATGCGCCCAAGCCATTTCGATATTGACCTCGAAGATATACTCACTCCTCTGATCATGAAATTTAAGCAGTTGGAAATGGGAATCGAATGTAGCGCAAAAGCTTACATGAAACTAATCGATGTAGTTTTCTGTGCCCAAAGAGCAGTCCTCTTTCCAATAGCTCCTTTACAAGATCCTATCACTAAAGAGCTAACCGAAAAGTTTGAAAAGGCCTTGCTTAGGATCTTTAGGATCTGAGACAAAGACTTTGATGGGTACCTTGACGACTGGGAAATAGGAGACCTTCAGACAAACGTATTTAGCAGCGACCTCCTTCCTTGCCATATAGATGGGCTCAAAGAATTCCTCTACTTAAAGTGTAAAGATGAGCAGTATTCAAAAGAAGATGTAGAGAAAGGACTTAACTTTGAAGCCTTTAAAATGCTTCAGACAATTTTCATCAAAAAGATGAAACTTCAAACCTCATGGCTTATCTTAGAGCATTTCTGTTACAATGAAAAACTCAGGATTAGCGAAGAATACCTTGTTGATACAAAGACTCGTCTCAGAGAGGAAAATGAGCAATGGGAAGGTATCGAGCTCTCTGATATTGCCAAGGAATATTTAACAAAACTTTATGATAAATACGAGAACTCCAAGGGGTATCTTAACCATGATGATCTTGAAGACATCTTCCAAACAACTATTGAAGGGATTCCATGGGAAATAGAAGAAATTACAAACATTTCAAAGAATTATCATATTGATCTAAAAACATGGATAGGACTCTGGCAAAAAGCCTTCTCTGAAGATTATGCATCTGCTTATGAATTGATCGTTTACCTTGGATTTTGTGAACCATTTGACTCAACTGTTGATATAAAAATAGAAAGGCAGGATGCTCTGCTGTCTCAATCTGGAAAGACTGTCTTCAACTGCTTTATCATCGGCAAAAATTGAACTTCCAGATCATACGTCACTGATACTGTAATTATGAACAAAAAGCCTGCTTACCTAGTCTTCACAGAGTTCGACTCGAAATGCACAATGGAGGAGCTAATCAAAGACCAGAGGAAGCTCAATTACTGTGATGTAATCTGCCTGATTTATGACGGATCTGAGAAATCATTTAAATTCATCAGCGAAGTAAAAGATTCTCTTCCCAAAGAAATCGCAAAAGTTGTTATCAAAATCTCAGAAGGAGACAATCTCTCAGGAATGATCCCATCTGAAGAGATCGCTAATGAACTGAAGACATCTCAGTTCCTGGAAGTCAGTCCCCAAGTGAGTGAAGAGAGAAAGGAGATGGTGACTCATCCTTCCTCTTTAGATGTGATCCTCTCTTCGAAGGATGCCCTTGAAATGATATCTTCCACAGCCTTGTGTCCTTCTAAAGGAGTTGATGCCAATCTTGTAGACCAGTTGAGGGAAGAAGTTGCTAGCAAGAACCATCAAAAATATGCTCTTATCTTTGGCTCAGTCACCATTGCCTTAGGGTGCCTTTTCTACTTTGGCAAGAAACACTTAACTGATTTAGTAAAGAGTTAATTAAAAATAAGGCAATGAGACTGAAATCAAGCATAATTCTGGTTGGTTGATTCAATTAGTAATTATATTAAAGGGGTTTTGGGGTTTTGGGGTTTTGGGGTTTTGGGGTTTTGGGG